AATACAAACGTAGAATGTTAGATAGAAGAAAAATCGGTTTTAAAACAACATTGCACGCAAGACCTTCTACGATACTATGAACAGAATCAAAACCAAATTATTTCTCATATTCACAAAATCAGACTTAAGAAGTTCTTATACAGGTGTAGAAGGCATTTGTTTCAATTTATTTGTTAACGGATGGACTTGAATACCAGTAAACGACAGAACAGAGAAAAGGGAATCCTTTGGATACATCAATCTGTATGACCAGAGTATATGTAAAGTTTCTTCAAGTAACTTTTCATGACTTTACTGATATGAAAAATTTATTTTTTTGCGACTGAATGATTTACGTTTTAAAGATCCTGATGGAAACCATAATAATGATTGATTAAAATTATAAGCCTAATTCATTGAAATATTAATCATGTTTTTCTTAAAACTAGAAGGTATAAAGCTGTTAAAATATTTGTAATATATATACCAGTAAAAATAGCTTTTTTGAAAAGTAATTATCCAACTTTTCGATATTTAGACCCAAAAATGATAAACAAAAAACATTTTTACACTTCCGCAAAAACTATATATTCAATTGCTTATTGTTGAATAAAACTCGCCACCGAACGTGCTCGCCCTTTCAGCTGTGGGGGGGCGTTATAATTTGAGGGCCAATCCCACTATTCGTTGGCAAAGAGTAGCTCAGCAGTTGGAAGTGGGTGGTGTTGATAAGCTGCCTTCCCTCTATTCTAGTCTATCGCTTCAATATTAGGGACGACTAGCGCAGTCAGCTCTCAAGTATCTTTGCGCAAAATTCCACAAACAGATAAAAAGATTGAATAACAATCTCCTGTTTAAAAATGACAGTATCAACAACCTTTGAATCCATCAGTTTGTTCATAGCTTTCATATTTAATTTTTATGTAAAAAAAAAACTATTACTAAAGAAAGTATATACGTCATAGTAAAGTCTTAAAGTCGTTGGCGGACAAATTAAATCTCAATTTGAAAATGTCTGTAAAATCTATTGATATTTATTGAAGGGCAGGGCCGCAAAAAATCCATGTCAGGGAAAACTCGGGATCTAATTGGATATTTAGAATGTTATATTAAAGATATAGGTTGTGTGAGGCTTAGTGATTTACGTTCAAGGCTGCAACTCAGAAGGTCCATGGCGCTAATTATCCATTCCCAGAACTGATGGTGATAGTGGGCAGGTACCAGAGGATTGGAAGTTAGCTAATGTCACTCCTTTTTTCAAGGGAGGTGATAAAAATTGTCCAAGTAATTACAGACCCACTAGTCTTACATAAGTTGTGGGTAAAGTTTTGGAAAGTCTGATGAAAGATGATTTACAAGCTCATTTAACAAAGTTTAGAATTTTATTGGATAATCAACATGGTTTTACTAACGGAAAATCTTGCTTTACAAATCTTTTGACATTCTTTGAAAGGGTTACTGCTTATGCAGATGAGGGTAAGGGTGTAGCTTTGGTGTATGTGAATTTTCAAAAAGCATTTGACAAGGTGCCACATAAAAGGTTTGTAAAAAAACTTAACTCTGTAGGTGTGGGGGATAAGTTTGCAAACTGGATAGAAGAGTGGCTGGATGGAAGAAAGTAGATGGTTGTTACACATGGAGTTCAGTCAAACTGTATTAATGTCACAAGTGGCGTACCTAAGGACTCAGTCTTAGGACCTTTGCTCTTTTTGATTTACATCAGTGACATAGACGAAGGAATGGTCAATAAATTACTTAAATTTGCAGATGATATTAAGGTCTTGGGTGTTGCTAGCTGTGAAGAGGATGCTGCTGATTTACAAAAGGATTTGGTTCATTTAATGAGTTTGGCAAATAAATGGCAAATGGGTTTTAATTATGATAAATGCAAGATAATGCATGTGGGTTATCATAATTTGAATTATAAGTATAATTCGGATGAGAGTAACCCCAACAATTTTATGAAAAAAGGGATTTTGATGTAATGGTTGATCAGTCTCTTAAGCTATCCAAGCAGTGTGCTGTTGTTAGTGGTAGGGCAAATAGGATTTTAGGTTGAATATTGAATATAAGTCTAAAGAGGTTATAACTTCATTGTATAGGTCACTGGTTAAGCCACATCTGGAGTATTGTGTTCAATCTTGGGCTACTTACCTTAGGAAAGACATTGAATTGTTGGAAAGGGTTCAGAAGAGGGTTACTAGAATGGTCCCCGGGATGAGGGGTTGTCATACGAGGAGAGACTGAAATCTCCCAAATTGTTTTCTCTTGAAAAAGAAGAGTTAGGGAGGGATCTGATTGAGGTGTTTAAGACTATAAAGGGAATTGATAGTGTTGATGTATCATCTT